TTTGAGAAATGCAAATTAAAACAACACTGAGATTTCATCTTATTCCAGAAAGAATAGCTACCATTAGAAAAATCAAATAATGACAAATACTGGCAAGTGTGTGTGGAAAAACAGCCTGTCTCTATTGTTGGGGGGAGTGTTGAGACAGAGTCACTGTGGAAATCAGTATGGCAATTCCTAAAAAATCCCCCTATAAATAGCAATTTCACTTGCCCCAACTATTCCTTCTAGGTGTCATGCCCAGAGTCGCCACAGAGATACAAGCACACCCATGTTTATAGCAGCACAATTTATAACAGCTGATCTTGGAAGTCGCCCATTATGCCCATCAACAGATGAATGGATCTGTACATAAGCGTATAGAAATGTGGCATTTATGCACAATGGGAGTACTGCTCTGCCATAAAGGATAAAATGGATGTGCCCTGATGCCTTAACGTTCAGTGCAGTAAATCAGATGCACAAGCTGAAATACTGCATGGTTTCTCTCACATGAGAAACCTGATATATTGTATAAATAGAATGCAAAATAAAAAGTACACAATAGAAAAAATGGGAGAAGAAAAGTTATTATAACCCAGCATGGATGGTATATCTAAAGTGTACCTCAGGGGCCAGCCAAATAGCTCAGCGTATTAAAGCGCCTGCAAGCAGGTGCAGGGGCTGGGCGTTCAATCCCCAGGCCTGCCGTAAGGCCCCGCCCCCGGGGCGCGCGCGCTGAGAGGGCAATTGAGATGGGTGTGGTGATGAACGCCTGTAACCCCAGCTCTTGGAAGGCTGCAAACAGGTGGCTCACTGTGAGTCTGATCTGGCAGTGAGACCCTGAACGCCTTGTAGACCCTTCCCTAAAATACAAAAAAAAAAAAAAAAAAAAAAAAAAAGTGTACCTCAATTTAGAATAATTGTTTTATGTAGTTTACATGTTTGTTTGTTTCAGTTGTTCTTTATTGCAAGATCACAGAACTAATTACAAATTTAACCTATAACTTGGTAATCTTTACTCAGGCAATAAGTTTTAATAAAAACAAAGTGTTTTTTCAACAACTCAAATGCAGAGTAAGGAGGAGAAACATTTGACTGGCCAATAGATTTAGTTCTCACTAAATGGAACCCCAAGCTCTTTTTCAGGAAAGGTGAGCTGTGATTTCAGAAGACAGTATGGGAAGTCTGTCACAGTCTAGCTTCCACTTAGTCACCTGTTTCTGGCAGTCTCAACTGGGATGGACACATTTATGGTTTACATGTTCTTTGACCTGTTAGTCTGGCAGTTAATCTACATTTACAACAACTCGCTAAAGAATTAGAAAATAAAGAAATGAATCTGATGCTGGCAAAATGAATTATTAGTTATCTTCTTTCTAAATGAGATCTTGAAGAATATCTTCTTTCACTTGAATTTTCTTTTTTAATGAATTTAGGACAGGGTGTACAGGGTCTTACTATATAGATTGGACTCATGGTGATTCTTCTGTTTTCAGCCTTGCAAGTGCTGGGATTAAAGGTACACGCCACTGCACCCAGTCTCAATCTCTGTCTTAGCGCCCCAGTCTTGGGGCCAGCATGGCACACCTGGGATCAAATCCCAGTTGCTACATTCACTTGAATGTTTATCCTCACACATTCTTTAAAAAATTTATTTTATCCTCATATATTTTTGATTACTTTCCTTTTTCCAATACTCCATTCACATCTCAAATATAAAAATTATGAATAATAAATAATTTGTTTCTCTACCACTGTTCAATTTTAGAGTTGTGAAAAACCTGCCTGGGTAATGACTACTTCTGAATTTATTGCCAAACATCTCCAGTGACCCTTTTCTTAATCTTATGTCAGGATAAGAATTTCTAGAGGAAAGGCAGGGCAGATGGCTCAGTAGAATAAGCGCTTTCCTGGCTAGTTCAAGGGCCTGAGTTCAATCCCCAGTTCTGAAAAAAAAAAAAAAAAAAAAAAAAAAAAAAAAAAAGAATTTCTAGGGAAAAAAAAATACAAGAAAAAACATTCTAGGAAGCATGTGTCTGAAATTTTCATAAGAAAGTGTTGAAAGAACAAGATACTTTCAACAAAACCCAAGTTCCCTGCCTACTGCCTGCTCCAGGGCAGGCTGCCCCCAGTTATGGGTGAGTCAGCCCCAGCCTTTAGCTCTGGCTCTTGGCTTCCAGGGCCCAGTACCTGACCTGACTCTGTGAAGGTGAAATTAGATGCTAAAAGTGACAGTGCCTTATTTTACTTTACTTTTTTGGGGTACTGGGGACTGAGGCTGGAGCCTTGAGCAAGCCAGACAATCAGCTCTGCCATGGACTGCAACCCCAGCTCAAGAACGCTTTAAACTTGTAAAAATGCAGTGTCCCACTGGCAGTGGTGGTGTACACCTGTAAGTGCACCATTCTGGAAGGCTGATGTAGAAGGATCCTAGTTAAAACCCAGCCTAAGCAATTTAGTAGCTTAGTGAAACCCTGTCTCAAAATAAGCTCAGTGTGAACACCCTGAGTTCAATCCCTAGAGTTCCCTCCTGCACATCCAACAATCTCTCTCAGAGATATTGTTATTACACCATTTTATTAGCAGTATTAAAAATGAGGTTCCTGTTAAACCAAAAATTGCCTAGAAATTTCTCTCATCACCTCTAAACAAGAAGTGGGTATTAAGTTCTGTTTTGTGGCAGGAGAAAAGATAGGTAGTGAATGACCACCGGGACTCTGAGATCTGCAGCAGTGGTTGTTTCCTCAATGTAAAAAGGTACTTCAAAAGGCTCAGGCTGGAGGTTTGGAAAATCAGATAAAATACATACTCAAGACAGGTGTGGCGGTGCATGCCTGTAACCCAGGACTCAGGAGGCTGAAGCAAGAGGATTGCTGCAAATTCCAGGCCAGCCTGGGCTACATAGTTTCAGGGTCAGCCTGAACTACACTTCAAGAACACTATCTTAAAAATCACCTCCCCCACAGAAAATATACTCACAAGCCCAGCAGAATATAAAGTTCAAACCTCAGGGTCTCATGTAAAGTGTTTAAATCTTAAAACCAGGGCAGGGAAGTGGGCACCTGCCCTCCTGCTAAGCCCATGAAGCAGTGATGGCTCCTGAGCTCCGAACCTGGCTGGGGCTCTGGCTTCTCACTGACTCAGGATCTCTTGGCCCTGGCTGCACATGTGGTGAGCAGAACTGAAAAGCCCACTTCCCTTCCGGGCACTTAGGACTCCTCACTCACCACAGGGCCTACACCACCTTCTGCTGAGTACTGGCCCATCCCTGCTGCTCGCTCACAGCTATAGGGGAACTCCTGCTCTGAGTGACAAATCTGATGGGCAGGAATCTGCAGTCACACCTACTACGTGCTCAGAGAACAGGCAGAGAAGGAAGGTGCTGAGAGCCAAGGAGAATGCAAACAGAATTCCAGAGAAATGCTCACCTCAGTGACAACACTTTCAATCCTAACATTAAGAGTTTCAACGTGAGTGAGAAATAAGCTAACTGGGACACTATATAGCCAATGTGCAGAAAGAGGTAAGCGAGGGCTGGCGGTATAGTGGTGAGCACCTGCCTCACATGCACAAGGCTCTCTGGCTTCATCTCCAGCATGGGAAGAAAGGACAGTGGGGAGGGAGGGAGATGAGGAGGGAAAGCTGAGGTGGTATCGGTTCAGGGGCTTTGCACAAAAGAGTTTTGTGGTCTACAGGCTGCACTGGTGATGTCTAGGCACAGTGGAGCCTCGGAGACACAGGCTCTGGGGGTGTTCTTTCTGTGAGCACCACAGTCCCTCCTGAGTGCCAGGCACTGATTGGCCCATAGATGCCAGCTCTGTCCTAGTTCACTATGCTATTTTCTCTATACTTTTGCATGTTAACAGTCTCAATAATCAAACAATCAAAAAGTACATGAGGGGGCCAGGGATATAGGGGCCAGTGGCTTAAGTGCTGGCCTGGCAAGCACAAGGTCCCCAGTTCAATCCCTGGTACTGCAAAAAACAAACAAACAAACAAACAAAAAAAAAAAAAAAAAGAAAAGAAAAGAAACAAAACTTTTCTGCCAATGAGATAGCTCAGTGGGTTAAACACCTGCTTAAGCAAGCACAGGGACCTGAGTTCAATCCCTGGTACCACATGCCACTGAGTCCAGGCGTGGCGGCACATGCCTATAATCCCAGCGCTGGGGAGGCTGAAAACAGGAGGATCACTACGAGTCTGAACTGTGACGTGAGACCCTGTACCAAATACATAAAAAATAAGAAAAATAAAGTAAATAAATACTATTTTAAAAGAAAATGGAATGCTATATAGCCATGGTAAGGAATATTCTCAGCCTCAAGGGGTGATAGCTGACCACCTGGCCCCTCTTTGTACTGAGACTGTTGAGTCTGATGCTCTCCGACAGTGCCGTCCGGACTTATGAACACAGCCCCTTGGAGAAGTTAACGCAACCATGAAGTAACCAAGGAACAAACACAACAGAATTGGGTATTTACATAATGGGTGGGTCATGAAGGAGACTTACTTCACAGTTGGTATATAACAAATTATTAAACATTCTCAGGCATTTTAAAGTTACCCTGGTTGCCCGCCCACTACAAAGGAAAAATTAAAAGGACAAAGTGACAGAAAATGAACCCATCACCTGCTCTGCTACCGCAGAAGCCACAAATCACTGAGGTTTCTGATGTCAGCATCTGATTCTTTAAATAGTACAGTAGACCTGCTAGGAATCAATGTTCTTACCTTTTCAGCAACGCTTCTAAGAGCCACACGCCATGTTTTCAATAAAACTGTGGCAGGTTTGCCAACCATGCTGAGCTCATTTTTATTTGCATGCCAGGCTGTAAAGAACTACAGCCTCACGGGAGCGCAAATGGAATTCACAGCCTTTTTCTAGAAAGGATGAAAATTACTTTTCCAAAACACCAATGTAAAGAGTGTCCTATAATTGTCACAATTTGTGGAACACACATCTACATTAATTGCCAGACTGCCCAAAACCAAGTCACCCCCTGCTTTCAGTTTTCCTGAAGGCGACAGCTTTATTAAGGTCACCAAGGACTATTCTCCAGCAACTTTTATTGGTCACAGAACATGGAGTAATATATGGTAGCTGTGGTTTAGTTACAGGCTTGCTTATAAAACAACTCTAAATTTATCTTATTTTACAATTCCTGCCCCGGTGAACCGACATGCCCCTACCCCACTCCAGGAGCTGTTCCACGCTCAGCAGTCCTGTGAGACTTGAGTGAATTGCTCTCCAGCGAGGTCCCAGATGGTTCAGTTTGAGAATTTACTTCAGCATCTAACTTATAAAAAAAATCCTAAAATATAAAATATCTAAAGCAGATACATACTGTTATTTTTAGCCAAATCATTTTCTAAAGTTTGTGTCTCTGTGCCCCTATATTTATGAAAACAAGATAAGAAAAGGAGTAGGCAGTGCCTAAATAAATGTTATTAAGTTTGCCAATCTATGGCTAAAAAGTCGCAGTGGAAGAACATATAAAATGTGAAGAATACTTTTAAACCTCTCATTTAATACTGTATTTCAGTTTTAAAGAAAGTTTTCATTATATAGTTTTTGCAATGGCAGTCTACAATATAAGAACAGTCTTTAGAATGTATGTGATACTTCGCTGTACTCACTCTGAATTAGAAACAGGTCAACCCAAAGAGGTGGTGAGGCATTTAAATACTCAATGAAAACTAAAAGGTAGATTATTTTTAATATGCATTAGAGTTAGTGGTCTCCCTGCACACAACACGATGGAAGATTTGAAACAGAGGCTGTGATGCCCTTATATTGAATTCCACAAAAAGTACAGTAGCAAACCAGCGCTTTCTAGTGGGAGACCAGACCAATGAGCAGCTGGAAGCAAAGAAGCTGCCACGTTGCCTTGGGGCCGGGGAATGTGTGCCTGGGGGACGAGTCGAAGGCACTACAATCCCAGTGCCAGTCATGCAGCCCACTGCAGTCCAGGACAACAGGTGAGAGCCTTGTGCTGACCTGGCAGAAGCCTAAAGTCAACCAAGAACAGACAGCATACAGTTCATGGGAAACTCCACCTTTCACTTTATTTCAAGGTGTTAGTGAATGATCATTGGTATTTCAAGTGTGGATCACATAAACACAGTGCAGAATGTGGAAAGAAGAATTAAATAAGTAACACACTGGCTATTAATGCCAGAGTCCTTGAATATCAGGTCATAAATATAACCAATATGATGAGCAAGCACACCTCATATTAATGATTTTCAGTTCCTATGATTAAAAAAAATATTAAACTGCATCACAACATTCTGTCGTATCATACACCAGACACATGCAGTGGAAAAGTACTGGGGTATACACAGTACAAGGTCATGGCTCAAGCTGAAGGTGGAAGGGAAAGTGTGGATCAAGGGTTTTACATATGTGCGTACATCTGATGGGGACTATCCACTGGGTCAGGCTCATTATGTGGCTGCCAGGTATGTCTATACCAGCTTGCATAACACCCCACACTGTCCTTTCCCACAGAGATCTACTTCTGCATAGAGTAGAAAAAAGATGGTGGTAAAAAAAACTTCAAATTCTTTGAGTTCCAGCCCTGGTATCCATATTCCATTGAAGACACCTGAAAATATTAAGAATAATTTAAAAATCTGCCTGGTTATAAATGTAGAAATAAATACAGGTTAAAGCCTAAAATTAGTGGATATCTCTTCTTTTGCTTAATAATTCTTTTTTGAACAGGACTGAGGATTGAGCCCAGGACCTTCACCCTGAGCTACAAAGCCCGCACTTTTTTATTTCTTATTTTAAGACAGTGTTTCACTGAGTCATTAAGTTGCCCAGGCTGGGCATGAACCTGTGATCTTTTTTCCTCAGTCACCCAGAGTGCTGGGAATAAAGTCTACTATGGTAAATGGGCAAAGAAGAAAGCTTTAAAAAGTTAAAGAGACATTTGCCAATTTTAGAAATGAGCCTTCTATTTCAGCAAAAGGCATATTCATGGAGACCTCAATTAATCCAAGAATGTCTGCACCCTGGCCTCCTGGAGGAAGGGCCTCTGTCTCAGTCATCCTACTGAAAGCCTATGGAAAGGGAACAAGGAGCTCCTGCAGCATGTAGTTCTGTCACTCACACCTGTCTTCCCTCCTGTCCATGCCGCAGCACCTTGGCCCTTGTTCTCTGCTGTGCCCGAGCATGTTGGGTCATGCTGGGCTGGGGTTCACCCACCTGCTCCTAGCACCCGCACTCCTGTGCACTTGGGGCCTGTGTGCGCCTTGGGGACCGCAGCTGTCTTAGGGCAGCGTCTCCATACTGGATGCCTGAGCCCATTCTTTCCGGGTCTAATTCACCTAAGGACCAAAAGAGACTCTTTTAGAAGAATAGTTATGCTTCTGTGATCCCTAAACACATGAAGTCAAGAAAGCAAAGCACACATCATGCCTCTCCGACACTGTGTGGAAGGGAGGATAAAGGACAGTTTGCACAGACAGGCATCAAGTATCTCTAGGACACAAAGGGTTATGACAATGGCTGGCTTATATGTAATGTCTGCCTGCTGCATCGAAGGATACCATACCACATGGCAGCTCCGTCATGCTCTGTATCATGCCAGTTTTAACAACAAATACTTATAGGGTTAAAAAAACAAGCTTTCATACTAATAAGCTTAGCAAGTTTTTTCTTTTCTGATCAAAAGCATAACAGGAGCCAAATGTGGTAGTGCACACCCATCATTCCAGTATGTGGGAGGCTGAGGAGCGAGGCTCGCTGTCAACGTGAGGCCAGCCTGAGCCACATAGTGAATTCAAAGCCAGCCTGGAATACACAGCATGACCTTGTCTCAAAACCAAACTGAACTGAACGGAACCAACAAAAAACAAAGAATTAAAAACCATACAAATGATGGGGAACTTTTTTGAGACTGATAACCGGCCTGACGCCTCATCATCCCCAGCCTCATTCCCTGTCCTTTCCTTGCCCACCACTTTCTCCTGCTCCTCCCCCATTTCCTCCCCAGCACTTACACTGGTCAGAATTCCCTCCAGCACCACTCCCTCCAAATCTACTGTCCTGGGTCCCTCCCACTGCCCTGCCCTCTCTCCACCCAGTGTCTCCTCCAGCAGCTGAGACTCCCTGCTGGACTGTGCTTGACGGAGGTGATCGCTGACTTCCTGTGCCTACCAGTGTAGGTCACAGGGTGGTCCTCAGCAAGCAGGCCTCTCCTGAATTAAGGAAGGACAGTGTGTCCTGGGTTCTCTTATGACCCCTGAGCCTGTCCTTCCTTGGCTGTGGCAGGCAGGTCGCTCTTGTCCACTCTCCTCCGGGCCTGTCTACTACTGCTCCCTCCTTGATGCACACACCACCCCTTGCTCTCAGCTATCTCTGGATTTCATAGCCCCTGAACTGGGCACAGCCAATGTCCTATTTCCCATGCAGAGCCATCTCCCAAAGAGTCCCTGCCTTTCCTCCCCTCCCTGTGCAAATCCTGATCTTCGTCATTACCTCCCCACCCCAAAGCTGCCCTGTCTACTATGCAGGCCATCTGATACTGCTGCCCCTGTGTCCAGGGTTCACCAACATGGTGTCTTCTCTGTTTCTCTGTCCTCACGGAGCCTCAGTTCTGTTCCTCTGATACTCAGAATTCCTGCACGAATGCTGGAGCCTCCTACATGGCTCACCTCAGTTTATAGCCTGGTCTCATCCTCACCCCTCACCACACACACATAGTTCTCTGTCCTTGGTGGGTATCAGACTTGTGGGACAGAGCATCCAGAGTGCCAAGGCAGGTGTGGCTGAGGACTAGGACCTCTAGAGGACCCCAGGGGACGAGGGCACAGCTCAGGTGAGAACCGGTGACCATAAGACGAGGTTTCAGGTCTTCTCTGAGGACTGAGAGCTGCTTCTGCTTCCTCAGTTTCTCCACTGCCATGCCCCACCATCTGTCTGCTGTTCCTTTTTCTAGACTTGCAGCTACCTCCTCCATGAAGCCCTGCCTGGCAACTTCTGTCCTTGGGCTGGGGAAAGCCCCCCACTTCCATGTTGCCCTGGCAGCCTGTGTGCCTCTTGATCACCCTTCTGATCCTGAGAATTATAATGTTTTTTAATCATCTGCCAGGAAGGAGAGTTTCCTTAGGGCAAGGGCTGCAGTTTACTCAGCCTGACTGAAGGTTAGGCACTCAGATATTTGACTGTATTAATTAAGTGCAGAATGCTTTCATATAATCCTGGTGAAACATACCTAAATATCAACTTTAGTAACTGTAACGACGTAGTCCTTTGCTGCCTATATTAAGATTACTTTAAACTATTTTTATGCATAATAAATACAATAATGTATACTGCAACTGAGGTGAGCTCAATTATCTCAGAAACCAGTTACTCCCAAGTGCATGGCTCCTGACACCCAGTATGTAGCAACCAGCATTGTATGAGCTGCTTGCAACTGCCTAAGTCCACAGCTTTGCCGAGCCCCACAGGACTTCTGGTCATGCACATCAGCTGCTGCTGGCAGATGTTGCCCAAGGCCCATTCTACCTCCAAATGGAATGGGCCTCAAAGAGACTCAATTTTAAGAGTACCCCACCCCTACTGAAATCCTGCTACCTTCACTGGCTGGGTACCCTCACTATGGAAGCTATCACACCAGCAAGGGGGCTCAAATCTCAGCCACAGCACTTTCAAGTCCATGAATGGTGAGTTAGGTTGGAAGGTGAAGAGAGGGAGGGCCTGCCATGCCTAGATCCATTAAAGATGGACAGTGAAGCAGAGAGTGACACACACACAGAAGAGCGTCTACCAAGGGAAAGGATTTACCTGATTCGATTTTGTTAAGTATTTTCCTTGCACACTGCATGAAGGCCTCTTCTACATTCTCCCCTGTTAGTGCACTCGTCTCCAAGAACATCAGCTCTAAAAGCAACATCAAACAAGACACAGGCTATGTTTAGAAGACGATCTTAATATTCAACTACAAACAGGCTGCTTAGCATTTTCTTATAATAGCAGAGAAAACATAACTCATAGCCTGTGGCCATCTAGTCCTATAAACACAGAATCAAAACAGTTTGTAAAACATCAGCTGTTGAAGCTGTCTCTGAATAGTAACAGTCACCCTATGGCAGCCCCGATCTGGGGATGAGGTGCCACCCCGGCAGGGGTCATCAGGGAGCAGCTGGCAGAGAAGTAGCAATGCTCTCCTCCTCGTGTTCTATGTGTTACCACAAACACGACCACAGCGTTTATGCTTTCTAGGGGACAGAAAGGCCTTACTTGTGTGAATGCTCCTCTGGCCCCAGAGCAGTGCTGATCCAGGGAAAGCTGCTCTTGTTCATCTGGGAAACACCAGCTCACTAGTCCTCCCTGGCTAAGGCCACTCCTCCTGACCTGTCTCCTGTGTTGCCACGTTCTAACCAGCTCTTCAAACACGAACCCTAAGCTGCTCACTTCATGCCTACTCTCAGCAGAAAATCTGTCAAACTGTAAAAGCAGGTTGGGATCTTAAGAGTCCACTTAAATACTGACACTAGGCTATTCTAGTTCTTGGTTAACTCTCAAAATTAAAGTTATTTAAAATGTCTGAATCTTTACCATTCTGTTATCTATAAGTAACTATTAACTACCTGTGGCAGTCTTGTGTATTCTCTATGGAAATTTGGAGATGTTTTAGTCACTGTTGAGTATGGTAAAATAAAACCAGTAAGCCAAATATTTCTTCAACTTTCTACTTAGGATGACTGTGTCATTTCAAAAACACACTGACAAGGCTCTAACCTAAATCTAATATTCAAAGACCCTGGACCAAAATGCCAAGACAGAATGTTCATACATTTGCTTTTATCTGTACAGTAACTTGTAGGCAGAATGTAATATAATGAAAGCAGGCTAGGATATGCCTGAATTTATAGTGGAAATTCCACATCTCTGAAGTACAGTTTAACCTCAAAATGCAAGCTATCTTAAACTCCAAGAAATGCCATCGCACCCAGATCTGCCCCTGAAAAAGGTGGGAGGGAGGTCACTTGCCGTTCTCCTGCGCGAACCTGGAGGCTTCTAGGAAGGTGACTTCCCGGTCGGCGTCCAGGTCCTTCTTGTTCCCACAGAGGATGATGACAATGCTCTGGCTGGCCAGCATTCTGGCATCTGTTAACCAATTAGTAAGCGCATTGTAGGTTTCTCGGCTGCGTAACATAAGATTGTGAAAATAATACATGTATTTTATAAAACTAGCAACTCTTTCCAGTCACTCTCACTATTCACAAGCCTTTTCAACAATTCAGGTCAGGACAATAGAACCTTGGAGGTAACTCAGGCACCTTGATGCCAGACCCACAGAGTATATGCAACAGCATGCCAGGGTCCAGAAGGAAAGGGAGTCCTGCCTCCCTCACCCACAGGCATCTACTGTACTCTGAGGGCAGTGCTGAATCCTGCTAGGCCACTCAGCGAGTTACTGAATTGTTGTGCTTTGTACCACAAGAATTCCATCATATCAATGCTTCTTCTTAAGGACTTGGTGACAATGGCTGCTGTCATCCTCCTTTGCCAGAAGGAGCCCAAAGTCCAGAGACACCAAGAGTCCAAGGTCACAAAACAGTCACTGGCAAAGGAGGACCTGATCTGACCTGTCTTCCCCAGAACCAAGTTTCTGCCTCCCACACTGATGAATAGGTGCCCGGATGGCCGAATGGCCTCACACCTTGGCAGGATGGGTCTCATACTGCCAGTCGGGCCAGAGCAGGGAGGCTGGACTAGGAGTTGCCATCTCCTCTCGGATGCCCAAGAGGGAAGTGGCCACATGAGGTCCTCTTTGTGAATGGCTCCTACCCAAGAGGAGCCCTCAACAGTGCCCTGGGACGGCATGTTTCTAGGATGGCTCCGTAAACCCTAGGTCGGTGGTGTCTGTCCTACAAGGACAGGATGCTCTATAATCTGCTCTATATACTGCCTGATGCCTCAGTTACTAGCCATGTGTGGTATGGAGCACCTGAAATGTAGTGGTGTGATCACGGGACTGAATTCTTAATCTCAGTTTCAATTAATCTGCCTTATATGGCCAATTACTACTATGTGTCTTCTATTAATTAATTTCAGCTTCCTGAAACTACATGAGCATTTCATTGTTACTACCATTGTTACTACCTGACAACAAACTCAGGCCCCCACAGCAAGGGCTCAATGCCTGTGGTACTGCATGGGTAGTGGCCAGGGCTGGGGCTTGAACCTAGCAGTTTGAGCCTGGAAGCTTTGTTCCCTGCTTCTCAAAACTCACTTTTAATGTCTCAGCATGCATAAAGCTTCATGGACCTTAAGGAGCATATCTGGGCATGATGTTAGGAAATGTAGTGAAACAAGACTGCTCTATCTACCCAAAGCCTCACAAATACATTTCTCTGTATGGTAGAATAGTGGCTGGGACCAGATCAAAGTCATGCTAGACACACAAGAAAGGGCTGAAGGGCTTTCTGGATGCACCTACCCATGGGCACAGACACATACATGGGACCTTGCCAGGACTGGCTTCCAGAATGGAGGGTACAGGGTAGCCTCCGCCATGGGGATCTGGCATTACCTGGTGATGTCATAGACAAGGAGAGCCCCGGCTGCCCCTCTGTAGTAGCTTCTTGTCACAGACCTGAAAGAATAACATGGGTTTCAATTTCAGCCAATCAGGACCCCTTACTACTAAAAACCACCTTTTCATGGAAACCCCATGCTTCCTCTGTAAACTGTACAATATGGCAGACCCTGAATCAAGAGATAGCACTCTTGATTGCTGCATTTATGTGTGAGGGATTATTCTGCTGGAAATTGTGTCAGAAAAGCAATGGGAAGTAGGCATTAGGCCAGGACAAGCAGGGTGTCCCCTAAATTAGGGCAGCTTGAGTGGGAGGCTAAGGTATGTGTAGGTGGTAAGACACCCCCACATGAGCATGGACACTCAGCAGGGCCCTCACTCCTCTGTGGGGAACACCATGGACACCTTTCAATATTCCTCCACCTCTTCCTGGGCCTGCCTGCCTTCCTTCCCACCTTCCTTCATATGACTTCCTGTTCACCCTTTATACCTCACTGCTTGTTTTTGGTGAAGTGCTTCCTCCCAGCATTACCAACCTTTCAGATTTTCCCCAGTACCAAAATGGAATTTCCTCTGGTGCCTCTCATTTTGAGAAAGGGCACTCAGATTCTCAGATTGAGCTATATTATACTCTGGGTGAGAGGGGGACAGGATCTCTCTAAAGTTGACCTTGAACTCTTGATCCTCTTGCCTTAGTCATTCTAGTGCTGGGATTACTGAAAGACATCACCATTCCTTGCTTGTTGTTTTGTTTTTTGAGACAGAATCTTGCTAGGTAGTTCAGGCTGCCCTTGAACTCACTTATATAGTACAGGTGGGCCTTGTACTCATAGCAATCTTCCTGCCTCAGCCTCTGGAGTGCTGGTATTACAGGAATGTGCTATCATTCTAGGCTTCCCACTTCTTAAAATTTATTTTATAGTGCTTTGTTTTGACACGTGATTTCTTTTTTAAAAAATCGTATTTGGTTGTTAGCTCAGACTCATAGTGATCCTCCTGTTTTCAGCCTCCCCAGTGCTGGGATTATAGGCATACGACACTAAACCTGGACTCTGGGACTCATGGCCATTTTAGCCCACCCTATGGGTGGAGCTGGTATGGCATGTGGCTCCAGGGATCCAACTGCAGTCTCCATGCTTGCCTAAGCAGGTGCTTTAGTCCACTGAGCTATCTTGCTGGCCCCAATGTGTTATTTCTTTTATGAATTATTCAGGTCTACAAATGTAAGCATTTGAAAACACTTTATGGATGTAGTAAAACTTTCGCAAAAGGAATATTAAGCAGTACAATACTTACACACTTTTTTTTTCTAAATTGCCAGGCTGACCTTGGACTTGGATCCCTGTGCTCCAGCCTGGGGTTACAGGTGCCTCACACATACACGTAGTTTTAAAGTAATACATTAGTTCATAAGTGTCTTGAAACGACACAGCTACCTCTCACTAGATCTGGGCCACAGAGAAACCTTGTCCTTCACAGATTTGGTTTCTCTTTTTGTGATGGTTGAGTGTGTCAATTTGAGCAGTTCAGTTAAAAAAAGCTTAACTAAATTGGCTCAGCAATTCCACACCCTAGGGTATGGAAGACCCACCCTATGGCAGGCTGGCCTTGAACTCATTATGTAGCTCGCGCTGGCCTCAAACTCCTGGAAATCCTCCTGCCTCAGCCTTGTGAGTGCTGGGGTTACAGGTGTGCACCACTCCAGCACAGACTTTTCAGTCTTCCACTGCAGACTCATCAGCATCCTGATGTGCACCTGCATAGGGCACTGCAGTGAGTCCGAGACCTTGGACTGAATCTTTGTCTTCAGCGTGCAGACGCCCTCTGCACCCTTCTTCATCTGACTCCGTAGAAGGCAGACTTGTAAACTGTACACCTTGTGTTATAGGTCTGTTTCTCAAGTAAAACACAAAATAAAAAATCTGATGCACTTTTATCAAATGATTAACTCAGAAAAGGCTGAATGCTGAGCATGTGTGTACACACTCCTCTGGGCACAGGAGAGAGACACACATATCCACACTGGTGAGCTGTAATTACAGTCTCTTCTGGCATTAGTGCTGTAGTTCTGTAAAATGTCCTGAAGCTCTGAGTTAGGGGTCTTCGAGTTGACTGTGTCCTGCTTTGGCAACATCCGAGTCACCTGAGGTCACTTAGAGGCACACGCTGGATTCTACCCTGGTCCTTCCTTGCAGTCACTCTGACCTTGGAGCCTGCAGGCCTCATCCCTCCTCTGGGCTGTGCCTCATCCTGGCAAAGTGGGTGCTCTGTGCTAAGGCAGAGGACATGAGAGAAGTTTGTTTCCTCTTATTCCTGCACATCTGAAGGCATTTTGCTTTTATGTTTGCACTTAATTTACAGTTGGGTTTTTTTTTTTATAATTTTATTGAGAAACAAATAGCAATGAGACAGTTTCAAATCAAATTGGTAGGACAGTTTCAATAATTAACACATTGCATACTCTCTTCCTAGTGGTTATTTGCTGTACAAGATGCAGACATGATATCCTATTTACAGTTGGGCTATGTGTACAACTATGAGTCTGAAGGTATCTTTCATTTTTAACCTCCTGAATTTTCAGTGTTTTTAGTTTCCAGTGTTGCCACTGATGGTCCAATGTAGTTCTAATTTCCAGTGTAACTTGTGACTGTTTTCCCCTCTTGAAGCTTTCCTGGGTTTGGCGTCATCCTGATGTCTTGGCAGGGCACATTGGCCTGGATCTCTTTAGAACGCTGAGCTCCATCTTGCTTTGGTAGTTGCAGGGTGCTAACCATGGCATCTCATCGGCAGTGTCCCGAAGTCACCCAAAGCACAGCTGTGACTGCACTGCAGCAGGATGTATGCCGTTCATCAGAACATGCTTCAGTTGGTATGAAACAAACACAATGACCACCACATGAGGTTTAAAAAATTCCTCTTTAGACAGGAAATACTGAAAAACATGTCTGCACCATAACTTTGCCTCTGTTTCAGTCTGAACACACACCATGGACACACAGTGCGATGTCCCCTGAGTGAGTTGGCCTTTAAGTTCCAAGGATTTGGGCTAGGGAGACAGCTGGTCTTAGTGCCTTTCTGGCAAGCAAAAGGACCCAGTTCAATCTCCAGTACCACATGCCATGCTGCCATGCTGGCCACGGAAACAGGATATGGTGGCCCATGCCTGTAATCCTAATGCTGGGGAGGCTGAGGCAGGAGGATCACTATGAGTCCAAGCTGCATAGGGACACTCTATACCAAATAAATAAAAGATTAAAAAAATAAAATAAAAAAGTTCCAAGGACTCACTGAGTCCATGCTGGTAACTCTACAGTGATCTTTGGGATCAGAAATTCCAGAGTGGAATTTCTGAAGTCACTGCTGGGGGAGGTTTTGGGGGATGAGACCCTATATTGTGAAAAAATACAATTAATTCCTTCAAATAGTTTTATCAAGTTAGAAGAAAAGCTACCTGAATCGTTCTTGTCCTGCTGTGTCCCATATCTGTAACTTTACATATTTACCACCAACATTTATTATCTTTGAGCCAAATTCCACTCCTATTGTATGATTTGAATCATCTTTGACTAAAAAAGAAAAACAAGAACAAGGTTCTTAATTTTAGGACAGTAGCATAATAGGTCTACAGATTTAGATAACATTAGAATTAAGGATAATGCCAATGGAAAATGCAGCTTATCTTAACTATTCCTTTCTCCAATATACCAGACAGCAAAAACCACTCAACATCTTAAGTAAAATACAATAAAGCATTTCCTTCAAGTCCCTCAGCATGGCACATTTGAAGGAAGTAGTCACCTTGAGTCAGAGACACCAGTTACCACTACTGAGAGCTCACAGGGTGATGGCTGAGTGCAGCACACGACTGTGCAGGACACAGTGTCCGGCACTGGGCCCATAACGAGGTGGTGACTGTCCCAACTGTTCTGGAGGACAGGTACTCTACAGCAGCAGTCCTCAGTCTCCTTGGCACCAGGGAATGGTTTCATGGAAGGCAATTCTTCCACAGATGGGGGCTGGTAGTGGTAGATGGTTTTGGAAGACTTAAATGAGTGTGCAAAGTGCACCTCACAGCAGGGTTTGTGCTCTTATGAGCATCCAGTGCCCCTGCTGACTGACAGAAGGTCGAGCTCAGTGGTACCTCAAGCCATGGGGGAGCTTCACTTGCTCGCTGGTGCTCACCTCCTGCTGTGCGGCCCACTTCCACCAATTCCAATAGGATTGGGGGCCCCTGCTCCAGAGGGAAGGTGTGCAGACTGGGGTGACAAGTAGGACAGAGGGAGGCTGCTAAGCAGAACATGGGTGACAGTTTCAGCAGTAATTCAGTTTCAGCAGTAATTAAAGGCCTGGAACATCTTGGGTGAGATCCAGCCACAGAAATAAAGTGACCTCCCTCTTGTCACTCCTGAACAGTTGGGGCCTCCAGGGATCCTGGATGGAAAGAAAAGTTACTGGGCCTGCCTGGGAGCCTGAGGGCATTAATTTTGGGCCTTGAACAATGCGAAGATTTGGTAACCTGTGAAGAGGCTTAGCCCAAGCAGGACTGGTTCTACGCTTCACACTGAATTTGGTCACTGCTCAAGGGACCCAATAACTCTTCATTGAGAAGCAGCAGAATAAATACAGGAATTTTATTGTCACCAGCCTCTGCCAAGACTGTACTGTCTTGTCCCCTTTACTGAGGTGCTCTGACATTTCTGCTTCAGGTATAACTCATGAAACCAGGTTAATTGTGTCTTGGGAGGTCATTTTGCACAGTTTCTCCTAGGGCCACAATATTGTTTATTTAAGGGCCTTTTAAGCTCACAGCCCGTGGGGTCTCACACAGCTTAGAGGAAAGACTCAGCCTCATTTATCCTGGTAGTACCCATCAATGGCAGCCACATTCCTGTGACCAAAGCCCCTCTGGGACCAGTTGTCCTCTCCACACTTGAGATCCCACCAGTAAACCAGGCTGGATGACAGCAAGGTCATAGCGCATGTGTCATCTGAAATGTACCTTGGGGCTTGTCTGCTCCATCAGGAAATAAGGCTCCTGCCTGGGCCTCCCTCTGCTGGCCTACCAGCATTGTATCATCTTGTAGCACCAGAAAAACAACTATATATTGAGTCCTTATTAAACTTAAGTGCTAACTCAATAAAAATTTAATCATGTAACTAAAAATGTAAGAACATAAAATTTAAGCTTATTTAAAGTGCTTTTAAGCTATGACAGTTTCCCAGAAAAAAAAAAAAAAAAGAGCTTTACTGTAATCAAATTGGAGCTTGAGTACCAGACTTCTATGAATGAATGGCTGCTGGGCATCACTTACATTTTTTTTCAATAAACTGATGGAGTAAGCAAGATTTGCCAGTTCCTGCATTTCCAATAACCAAGAATTTAAACAAGAAATCTGAAAGACAAAGAGAAACTGTGAAAAGAAACTTTAAAACTTGTGCTATGCATTTTATTTTTCACAAAAATCACAAAAGACTATGATCATGGAATTTCACGGAAACCTTCTGTTGATGTAACAGAAGAGGTAACAATATTTTGTGAAAACAATACACACGTTGATTTACCTTTTCACATTCATGTAGTTTTGATATTTCACTCACATGTTAATTCAATAGTTTTCCCAAACTGTACTTGTTGGCAGCTGTTTCTGAAGCTGGAAGGTTGAAAACTATGCTTGTAATGAATAAAATTGGTCCCTGCTAGCCATAATTAGAAATGAGTATACTCAGTTGTAAGCAAAATTAACTTAGAAATTTCAAGTGTTTTATGCACAAAACAGTAACTTCAAAAGGCCCACTTTTTTTTGTCTTTGAAATACTGAGGATTGAACTCAAGGCCTTCACACTGAGCCATATTCTCACCCCTTTTAAATTTTGAGGCAGGGTCCCCTTAAGTCACTAAATCGCTAAGGCAGGGCTTGAACTTGCAATTCTCCTGCTTCAGGCTCCTAGTGTGATAGCATTACAGGTGTGTACAATACTTAGTGAGATGCCTGCTTCTTTCTTTTCAAGTTAGGTGTGAGCTGGGCATGGTGGCAAATATCTATAATTCCAGCACTCATAAGGCTGAGGCAGGAGGATCACCAGAAGTGTAAGACCAGTCTGGACTATGTTGTGAAATCCTATTTTAAAACACCAAAACAACAACAAAAGAAAAAATAAGGGGCTGGGAAGATAGCTCAGTGGGATAAGTGCTTGCTTGGCAAGTGCAAGGTCCTGAGTTAGATCTTTGGTACCAAAAAGAAAGAAAGAAAGAAAGAAAGAAAGAAAGAAAGAAAGAAAGAAAGAAAGAAAGAAAATAAAAAAAAAGACCCTGTACCAAATTAAAAAAAAAAAATTCTGGGCCAGATGGCTCAGCAGATTAAAGCACCTACAAGCAGGTGCAGGGGCTGGGGGTTCAATCCCCAGGCATGTGTGCTGGCCCCATCCCCGGGGTGCGCTGAGAGGCAATTGAGACTGGGTGTGGTGGCACAACATCATCCCAGCTCTTGGGAGGCTGTAAACAGGCAGATTACTATGAGTCCAATCTAGTAGTGAGACCCTGAACACCCTGTAGACCCTTCCCTAAAATACAAAAACAAAACAAAAAAAAAAAAAAAAAAAAAAGGAAAAAAAAAAAAATAAACAAAAAAAGCAGGCAGGAGTCTGTCTGCCCTAATGGATCTGGTGGTTGCCCTCTTCTCTTCTCTCTAGTTTATGGGAGGTCAGCTCAGGCCAAGCTCAGGTTGGCATGCTGAGCGTGTAATTTATCTGATTCCACATGGAGTTCTTCATTTCTTCTTTGCCAGTAGTCATACATTTACTTTGGAATACCATTTCCACAAAATGGGGATAATAGCATCCCAAGTTGGAATTAGTTCATTATGAAGTAGAATCAGGAACCCTTCACTGCCTTCAGGGTTTTCTTTAGCTAAGAACGCTAATCCTGCTTAGCTGGGGGCAGCACACTGCAGCTCCCTCTCTTTTGCCCACTCTGGCACCAGCCCTGACCCACGAGTCTGGCCCCCGCTGCCCTGTGTTCTGTGGCCACAAAGGCTCCACTCTGCATTCCTGGTTCCCTCGTGTGCATGTTTGATAGCATCAGCTCCACTCTCCTCCAGGGCTCCCTGCTCTGGCTGCTTTTCCCCCAGTGAAGCCAAGAGAGCTGCTGGTACTTGGCTGGCCCAGTCACCTGCTTCTTAGAACTGTATCCACCCTGGGGCTTCAGCTTCTGTGATCCTGAAGGACCTCCAAATGGGTGTACAGGCAGTTAGACTTACAGAATTGTGCTGTAAGACTCACAATGACAAGATACAGAGCCTTAAATATGAACACACCAAACAGCTATAAGATGTGTCAAGCAGTATCTGACAGAAGCAGGTCACACAGGCAGTCCCCAATATCTAACAACTTTGCCCCAAGGTGAAATGTGGCTCTGGGATTGGCAGCTTTGGGTAAAACTGGACAGTTTTCTGCCCTACTATTCAGCAGCTCCCAGGCATTCATCCCACAGATTTGAAAGGCCCAGGTTCACACAGACCTGTGTATGAATGCTGGTGGCAGCTGTGCTCAGAGGAGCCCCCAACTGGAATCCTCAGACTCCCTTCAGCGGCAGAGGCCAAGGTGAGGCTCATGCTGAGGAAGACTGCTCGGCATGAAGGAAGCTGAGGCCTCCTATCCACCTAACCACGGCATATGGTTGGCACACACCAACCAGGATAGTGCACTCTAGGCTGCAGCATAGTGCCAGGCCAGAGGGTAACTGCAGGTGGAACCCTGCATGATGCTCCTGTGACTGACATCTGTGATTGCTCCCCAGACCCCAAGGCAGCAGAGCCACACTAAAGCATCGTGGCAGCAGAGGGCTGGTGTGGCCAGAGCACTGTGGACAGTTTGTTCTACAACTGATGCCAGGGATGCTCCTGAGTTTTCAAGAAAATGATATCCCCTTCAGTGATGAGGCTGCGCTGCATCCTCAGGGGACAGTGATGACATAGTTCTGTGTTCCCAGTTTCTCCCTCAAGGAGCACTCTTGCTTTTAAGATTCCCAGAGGTTAGAAGGAAGTCACTCTGAGTCTCCTGGGAGAAAGTGTTAGTGCAGTACGGTGTGGGTGGAATGGAGTCTCGTGGGAAAGGATTCCTTGTTTCTAGGGCCTAGGGCAGTGGTGGCAAACCTCTAAGAGCTTTTAATGACACAATCTGCTGCAGCAGACATGCATAAGCTCACCACCACCATCCTAGAGTTTGTGATACCAAGACTGAGATAAAATAAGGTTTTTGAGGAGGAATCAATGTTGAGATAAAATGATGAGTTACAGATTCACAGATTAAGCTGAAAATACCTGTGAGCTGGCACAGCAGGGATTTTGGGCAGAAGTTATTTAGGGGCCAACCACAAAAAGGGAAACAAAATAGTCAAGGCCACGAGGGAAGGATGGTGTCCTAGTTAGAGTGGACTGAAGCAGGGAGTCAGACACTGCAGATGAAAAAACCAAGAGTTTCTTGGAAAACTCTTACAAAGAATGTCACTGTAATGGGAAGAAGAGATGAGGGTGTGGAGGACGTTGCAGAGTAGAAGTCACTCCACAGGATCAGGAAGGCCAGGAGAGGATGTAAGGGCCTGCAAGGTAAGCACTTGTGCCTGAGCACAAGGCAGGAGACTCCCTTCTTTTGAGACAAGTGGGGTGGACAAATGCTTGCAGTGAGAGCAGCCTCCTTCCCAGGCACCTTCCTGTCCACCTCGAGGGTGATAGGGAACCTGTGAGGTTCCAAGCTGCTGACGTACAAAGCAGGAAGAGAAAGGGCCTGGTGCTGCCTATTGAGAGCCATGGTGGGGGGGGGGTAGGGGTTGAGGGAGTGGGGGTGTGGGGAGGGGGTGTGGACCCATGCTCCTGGATGAGAGCAATAAGAATGGATAGAGGGAGGCAGTGGAAGAAAAGGTGATGAGGAGAACCATGAAGCATCAGATCCTCGGGGCTGGAGACAGAGCAAGACACACAGCAAAGGACCTTGCTGAAGGAGAACCAGCCCCAAAGTCACAGAACAGCAACACAAAGGGGGTGGAGGACACAGGACAAAAGAGGACACATTCTTCAGGGGACAGAGAGGCTGGATTAGGAGAAGCAGGAAGTCTGAACACAGAGCAGGTGGCCGATAGAGCACAGGGAGCAGGACACAGAAGGAAGCGCGGGCAGTGCTCTGCGGGGGCAGCCAGGGCAGCTGCTGTGCCTGTGCCTGTGCCTGAACCCAGCTCTGCTGAGTGGGGCTCGACTGGGATTCTGCAGCTCAGGTTCCCAGTGCAGCGCAGGATCACCTGTGCTGGGGCTGGCTGCTGCGGAAGAAAGCACCTTAGCCGTGAGCCTGGCCAGCTTTCGGGTATCAAAACTGTCCTTTCTCATTTGCTTTCTACTTGTAATAAAATCTACTAATACTAGTATTCTTCTAAATGGAAAACTGCCCAGAAAGGAAGTCAGCTGCCAGCACAGGAGATAGATAAGATAGATAAAGAGGCCTAATGAGAACAGCTGCCCTCAACCCTGAAACACGTTTTGGCTGCATTTTGGACTGGGTTTGATTTAGATTTAGAAACGGATAGAGTCTGCCAACTACTCTATTTAGAAATACGGTAAATAGTTTATCAAGATGTTCTGTAGAATACTCCAACTAGGGCCAATAACACAAAATAGCAAGTGGAGGGAAAGAGGGAGGGAGGGAGGAGAGGGAGAGGGAATGAAAGGGAGAGGGAAGGAGAGAGGGAGAGGGAGGGGCAAGGGGAGGGAGAGAGAGAGGGAGAAAAGAGGGGAGAGGGGGAGGAAGGGGTGAGGAGGGAGGGAGGGAGAGAAAGGGAAGGAGAAAGGGTGGGGGAGGGAGGGAGGGAGAGAACGAACAAATTTAGCTGTTCACTGGAAGCTGCATCTGGTGTAGGCTTCCTCCTGCAACCTGCGCGGCAGACAAGCAGGTGAGCAGTGAGACAGCATGAATAGCCCTGCCACGTCATCCTTTCTTTAGGAGCTGGCCCTGTGACGTTGGCACCAACATACATAGCCTCATAGCCTTGTTGCTTGTTCAGGTCCACCTTGTAATGCTGCTATAATGACAACTAGGTGCCAACATGAATTCTGCTGGGTGGTTTAGAACATACACAGAAAACCTGGTCAGCCAGAGCATGCAGTGGAGCAACGGTCTCCAGAGTGGGAATCTGGGTCAAGTGTACAAGGGTGGGGAAGGTGAGTCAGCTCCATCTGCAGGTGGCACCCGGGGTTCATGGCACAGCAGTCATGGGGACCAGGCATGGACTCAGTACAGATAACCCACCTCTGTCTGGCTTACACCTCTGCTTGGGCACTCCACACATCTTCAGCATGGGAGATTTTGTGGTACAGGGTGGGTACAGGACTGTAAGGCGATGCCAGGGGAT